ACCCACCGCCAACTCTTGGGCTACTCTTTTACCAACGAATAGTGGGATTGACCGTCACATTATAATGCTCCCACGGCTGAAAGGGCGAGGATGTTTGGTGTGACGGGGATTCGAACCCACGACCCTCAGATTGCGAATCGAGCGCCCTAACCACCTGGCCATGCCGGGCCCTCTCGCAAATAACTGTATCTTTTAGGTTTTCATTGAAGTCAAGTATTATGAAAAATGTTTAGTTTTGAAAAACTATATCTTAAATATACTTTGGTAATAATAAAGTCATTTGGTGGCTCAGCGGTATAGTTTAGGGTTTCTAAGGCTACAAGACGGGGGTCGATGCCCGCGATGGGCACATTGCATATAGCCCATTTTTTAGTTTTGCGCTTTTAGCGTTATAAGTCCTCAGATTTACCACTAAGCCACAGAGAGACTTATTTTATTGAAAATGTCATGCTGAATTTCTTAAACTAGAACACTGTAGAATTTCGTAAAAATATAAACGTTTTTAATCTATACAAATAAATATACGAACATTTTACATTTTAAAACTCACAAGTTGATTATCTTCGTTTATTTCACGCAAAGCTACTCAGTGGATTATCAGCGCTCTTGTCGCCGCTGAGAATCGAACCCCAAATTTTAGCGTTGTACATCCTCAGACTTATCAGAAATATAATATTTTCTGAGTTGACGTTGATAGGAGTTGAAATAAAAAAAACGAATAAAATTCTTGAAACAATTGTGCAACTATAAAAAAAAATATGGTCGATAAAAAAGAAAATAATATTACTGAAAATATTAAACGTAATTTGTGGTCACAGAAAAAAAAATCAGTTCATTATAACGGCTACACAGCTAAAAGTCGAACATGTTCGATGTAACAGGGATTCGAATCTGCGATCCTCAGAGTACTAATCGATTGGTCTAACTGCCAGTCAATATTTATACACTGTTCACCCTTTTGTGGTCACATTTAATGTTAAACGTTTGAAGACGTTTGTGAATCCCTGTTATATCCACGAACTGAACATAATACAGGAAAACGTGTTATATCCACGAACTGAACATAATACAGGAAAACGTGTTATATCCACGAACTTAACATAATACGGGAAGACGTGTTATATCCACGAACTGAACATAATACGGGAAGACGTGTAATATCCTGAAAGTTTAACATAATACAGGAAGACGTGTTATATCCACGAACTGAACATAATACGGGAAGACGTGTAATATCCTGAAAGTTTAACATAATACAGGAAGACGTGTTATATCCACGAACTGAACATAATACGGAAAGACGTGTAATATCCTGAATGTTTAACATAATACGGGAAGACGTGTTATATCCACGAACTGAACATAATACGGAAAGACGTGTATTATCCTGAAAGTTTAACATAATACAGGAAGACGTGTTATATCCACACACTGAACATAATACAGGAAGACGTGTTATATCCACGCACTGAACATAATACGGAAAGACGTGTAATATCCACGCACTTAAATTTGTTTTCAGTAAACACATTATTATGGAACATTTTTATTGAAATTTATAAAATAGACATACATGTCAGCATGTTTGTCAGTCATAAAATACACCATGAAAACTATGATTATCTATACATTAATATATTTAATACAAGCTGAAATACCCTTCAATTGACGAGGAATGTTTAAACTTAATTAAAACAATGTAACCTTAACAGCAATCACATATTTCAAAGTAATAACTTGAACATAAACTTTATCTCAAAATTTTGAAATTATAACAAAGCTTCTTCATAAACAACATTTGCAGTTTGCTTTCCATCTACTAACAAATAAAGATTTTGAGGTGATCCCACCCTTGAACATCCTACATCTCATTGACAACGAGAAAAGCATGGTTTTTTGAGAAACAATCCAGCAACTTTGATACTTTGACCTTGATTTCCTTTAGAATATTCAACATTGTTTAAAGCGTCAACCTGCCAAGATTGTTTAAGATTGACTCAATAGGCTGGGAATAATTAACCAACAGGTTTTATAAAATAGTACATTCTCCATAGTTCATAATTTTTACATACAGAAGTTTGATTAAGACTGGCCCAACAGGCTCGGAGGAGTTAGTAGGGTGCAAACAAATACACATTTCATCTTTATATATATATAGATGACACAAATCTGATCATTATTGTGTATAGCACACCTGTAGTACATTTCTTGCAAATGTATTTTTGTTGTTGTTGTTGTTGTTGTTGTTGTTAACGGGGGGTTTGAAGAATAAGATACTGGGTAATATGTTGATCGAAAATCGCGACATCTAGAGAAAAGAAAAGATTCGACTCAAGAAGAAAATACAAAAAAAGGAAAAGTGTTTTCCACAAACTAGCACGGTCACAATAACGTAATGAAATCACAAAAACCGAAGAAGGGAAAGTAATGCATATCCAACTGATAAAGAAAAGTGAAGTCTTTAATAATAAGGCCTAATCGTTTCGGTGTGTCCCCCTTTTAATTAAATTAAAATCATAAACATAAGCTCAAAAAAAATAACCAAAATTGTAACCAAAACACACAAGTTAAAGATAAATCTAAAATCTTCTTCACACAAAAGTAATTTACAAAAG